TGATAATATTTAATTTATAATGAAATTAATTATATAAGTATTGTTATTAAACACAAACTACTACAATAAGAATAATTCTATTAAATATATAGCTATCCATTTGGAATCTAGTTAATAAAAATCTTAAAAAAAGTTATATGTATGCGTGTGTGTATATATATATTCACTACTTATGACACTCGTTTTTTCAATATCAAAAACACTCTCTTTTTGCCTGCCTTTTAGTTTTTTCTTTTTTCTTTTTCTTTATATGTATATATTCACTACTTATGACACTCGTTTTTTAATTATCAAATGTACTCTCTCTTTTTGCCTGCCTTTTCTTTCTTCTTTTTTCTTTTTCATTATATATTTATTCAAATACACAATTTAGTGTGATATTTTTGTTTCAAAATTCATTATTTTTTTCCCTTTTTGTTATATATAGTATTAATATATTGATTTATTGACTTGAATATATAATTTTTAACAAATAAAAATTATTATTTTTTCAATGTATCCTTATCCATTGAAGAGATAACATTAATTATGCTTATGACAAAAATTCCTCTCAATAGGTGTGATTTTATAATTTGAATACTCAATATTGATAGAAAATTCACCAACTCATTTATTATTGGACCTACAACTTATTGATAAAAATTAATATTTTTAAATAATTAAACACGTGTGAGTGGTCACAGTTTAGACATATACTTTCCTTAAACATTATTTTACCATAAATTTGAGCAATATTTTAACATTATTTTACAATACAACTGCCCTTGCGGGGGCGGGCACGGACAATGCTAGAGTATATGCAGGAGGACTAATTTAGAATTCGTTCACTTTGAATGATTGAAACACAAAATTTATGGAACGTGAATATCTCCTACCGTTAATGTTTGTTTAACCGAACCGACAAAATTCCAAACTGAATCCAAACTAGATTGTGGTTCCGTTTTTCAGCTTTGATCGATCTAAAAGGTTTTGATTTAATTTTTGTTTTTTGCCAGCAAATCAAAGCAACCAGTATTTTTCTTTTTCTTTTTCCCGTTGATCCTATTAAACCCAAAAAGGGGATATAATGCAAAATGTCCAAATTGTTTTTAAGACAACATGCTTTAAAATTGACGCCTAATCTTAAAATTCTAAAACAAAAAGAATAAAATAATAATAACAATAATTAAAATCATAAAATTTAGGTATAATTATCAAAATACTCTCTAAAAATTCATAAATTTATTTTTAAATTATTCGAACTCAAAATAACATTTTTCTTATCAAAATATTCAATATTTAACTCTAATAAAAAAATGTTATTTAAATTTGAAAGAAATAAAATAAATTGATAGGTATTTCATATAAAAGATCTTCTTTAGAGATCTCTTTGGTGATAATCTAATAATGATCTCAGTTTATATTTTTTATAAATTCAATACGTAATGTTATTATTATTATTATTATTTTACCATGATAAAGTTCATGTTCTTTCGGTTATAATATATATATATATATATATATATATATATATATATATATAAAGTTTCTCAGAGTTCTTTGACTATTGACATGCTGAATTTAAGCTATGATTTTCTTATTATACTTAAAAAAATTTGTGTAGAAGTTTTTTTTTTTTTTTTTATGGACCATTTGTTTCATCAACTAAGAAAATTAGATTTATTGCTTAGTGGCTGTAGTAGTTCATGCAATTCAACTCATTAATATTTATAAAATAAAAATATTTTTATCCTTTTATAATTTAATTCAAAATATATCATACAAATTTAAAAAAAAATCAAGAATATATTTGATTATAAACATTAGTGATCTTCTAGATCTTAATATATTGATAGAAAAAAAAAACACCATGATTAGTGATAGTTTTCAATTGATCGAAACTTAATACTTTTCACTAAGCAATTAAATTAAATTATGCAAAGAATGTATAACATATCTTAGTGCATTAATTAAATAGAATATATGTATCCACAATAAAAATACATATAATGGTTTCATTTAAATTACGAATAATTATCAGCAAACCTCTAAAAAATCTTATATTTAAAAAACCACCTATTCATTTCTAAATCTCTCATACCCAAAGTATTTTTCTTACTAAAATACCTAATAATTAAGTAGTGAAAAGTTGGAGATTAGATATTAGATGTTTTGGTAAGAAAAATATTGTTTTGGGTTTGAAAGATTTAAAAATAAATTGATGGATTTTTTAAATAAAATATTTTTTAGGAAGTTTTTCTAGTAATTATCTCTAAAATTAGAACTAAAAAAAAAAAAAAGAAACTTTTATTCATTTTTTTTCTTTTTTGGTTTTGACTCAACATACACTAACAAACCAACTAAAAAATTTGATTGGTTAAAAATTCGAAAAAAAAAAAAAAAGGAAATGGAAAGGTCTGTTCCATTCAATTTTTTGGTTTAAACGAAATAATTTTTACCCTATGCTTTAATGATATAATTTTCACATCAGATTCAGTAACTTGGATTGGATAGATTAAAGTTTGCTAGTTGAATGAATATATATATATATATATATATATATATAATACCTCAGATATGCTATAATGTTTTCGTCCGATACGATTCTTGACCAAATAATTCCCAAATGCACAGTCAACATATTATATGGGAGTATTTTAAATTTTTTTTAATAGACCTATAGATTGAAGAACATCCTTGATTTGGAGAAAATTATTGTTTTTTTACTATATTAAATTTAATAGTTCAGGTAAATGATCTATTTAATATTTTTTATATTAGTTTATATTTTGTATTTCCTCGATATAGGATATATTCACTAACGAGTGAAACTAAAATTAAAGTATGTAACAAGATAAAATTTGAATAATATTTTTCATCTTTATGTTTTTAATTGAATTAAAATCTCAGTATTTGATCATAATGATCGCAACATAATATAGAAAAAAAATGATAAAAATTATAAGTGGGTAAATTGGCTAGTTTAGCCATTAAACAAATAAAATACAAATTAGTAAGAAATCATAGATTGGGCAGAAATAAGTTGCACAAACCAAAATTGGCATGTTAAAAAAGGCTAAGCATTATTTATAAATAGATGTTTTTTTAAGCATTATTTATAAATAGATTTTAAAAAAAATCATTAGAATTTTTCCAAATATTAATATTGTCTTGTCTTCAATTTCAAGACAATCTAATTATCTTAATTAATTGGTTCGTTGGCAACCAACCCATTTCCATCTAATCACGGGTGCAAATTCTATTTTTTGACCTAATTCAAAATTAAAACCAAGCAGAATCAAACCAAACATATAAAACTTAATTTCTCGACAATTAAAAAAAAGGCAAGATTGCTAATTTAATTATCTGTCTAAGCTCCTGACCTGCGGACGCATTCCACAATTCCATTTTTCCATTTATAATTTTTTTTCATGACAAAATTCCTTCCCATAAGAACTGAATTTAAAATTAATTTCTCATAAGGAAAAAATGATTAACAACCTTTTTTTTTTTTTTTGAGAAAATAATTAACATACATGATATGCGAATTCCACGTTAAAAGCATGATATTAACCTTTACTGATCACATGCATTTGTCAAATTCAAGCAGATCTCGTGTTTACATTTCCAGTCTTGGCAATAAGAGATCATCTACGCGTACGTGTATTTCTAAACTTAAAAAAAGAAAAATCAATATGACTAACTACACCATTGTATATAGTAAATTCCATCCAAGAAAGACACAGAGAGCATCTTGCTGGACCAAAAATCTGTTCAGTCTTTTGTTGGATCTTCTAAATTTAGCTACCAAATTAATGTTGAAAACTAAAAACAAATGGGTTTTTGAGGCATTACTGAACCACCTGTCACGTGTCAGCCAGTGTTGGCAGAAATAGTTACTCGTAATATATAGGAAAAAGAAAAAAAAAGCAACAAATTATAAATAGTCAAGTAAGGAAGAAATGGAGGCAAATTTGAGTAATTTAAGGCTGTTACTGCTGATATATGCTGTTCACTTTTTTTTTTTTCAAAGTATTTGATGTCTAAATATATAAATTAATTTTTCATCGTATCATTGAATATATAAGACGAAAATAACTATTTAATAAATCGAATATAAAATTATTTATTTAAACGATTATATTGTTTTTTCGTTCAAATTAATTTTTTTAAAGTTGTTGACTTAGTTGACCCTATTTTACTACAGATACATATGATAAAGATTTTATTCTAGTACAATATTTATAACTAGGAAACGCTAAATTACAAAACCCAACTAATTAAATATTTATATAATAAAATAAAAATAACTGCATATCAAGGTTGCTATCAAAATATTTAATTAAAATTCTATTTTTTTATAATAATGAAATCTCATGTTTTGCTGCAAACATAAAATTTTATTTTCAATTGTTATATGATTTGTGAGCTTATTTCAACGATACTGAGTTGAAATGTTACCATTAGCGTAGAAAAACTGAGAATAAATCAAGAAAACGACATAAATTAATCACCGTTGAACTATTTTTTACTTTAACCATCTTAAAAAACAAACTTATTTATACAAACAGATCATTTTTTTCATATCCGATAATTTTTTCAGTTAGACGAATTCAAGTTTTATTAATTTTATTAATATATAGTAAAGAATAATTACTTTTATTATTTAGCCTTAAGTCCAACGGATTCTCAATGAACTGAAAAAAAAAAAAAAACTCATCCGGACGCATTAACCATCTGGAGGCGTAGATCTTGGTCAACGTGTTTGACCGTGAAAACGACAACAGGAGGGATAATCTTGTAATTAAAACACAGCCACACTCTCTCTCCTTGTTTAATTAAGTAAAAAAATTAATCATTATTTATTTAAACCAAATCGGTTTCTGTCGTTGTTGTTGTTGCCCTCTTTGCTTTTGGTTAGCTTCCTCTCTTTTTATATATAAGCCTCATTTGGCTTCTTTTTGCTCTCTTTATCTCTCAAAACCAGAGAGACACGAAAACAAAAAACAAGATAGGGAGAAATGAGAACAAGGAGAGGGCTTTCTTATCCTAGAAGAGGGGCAGTTAACGCTTGCAATACAGCAGCAGAGAAGAGGATATCAACGCCAAATTATAAGAGAGGAAAACCTGATTTTACCGCTGGAGAATACATGGTTTGCCGGAAAAAAACCGATTAATCTCAACGGAGAAAAACGGAGAGACTGACTTGTTTGATTCTTTACCTGATGATCTTGTCATTTCTATTCTCTGCAAACTTAGCTCTTCTGCTTCTTGCCCCTCCGATTTCTTCAACGTTTTAATTACGTGCGTCCCTTTTATTCTTTCTCTGATTTTTTTTTCTTAGATATTTCTTTTTGTTGGACGTTACACTTGAGATTTGACCGGAAGCGGTTACGGTTTTGGTATGCTAATAGAGCGAGAAAAAAACGTTGATGCTAAATTAAGCTTGTTGATTGAAACTGCAGGTGCAAGAGATTAAATGGATTAGGCCTTCATTCACTAATACTATCCAAAGCTTCTCCAAAAACATTTGCAATCAAGGCCAAAAATTGGTCCGATTCTGCCCACCGTTTCCTCAAACTCTGTGCGGACGCCGGAAATGCTGAAGCTTGTTACACTCTTGGCATGGTAATTATTAGTTAAATTCAATCGAAGTTAATTTTTAACAAATATCGCTCTCAAAAGGCAGATAAATCAGTATGTTTAAAGATATTAATTGAAATTTTTATTGTTAACAGATTCGGTTTTACTGTTTACAAAACCGAGGCAGTGGAGCTTCTCTAATGGCAAAGGCGGCGATTAGCTCACACGCGCCGGCGCTTTATTCACTTGCGGTTATACAATTCAATGGAAGCGGTGGCTCCAAAAGCGACAAAGACCTCCGAGCCGGCGTCGCGTTGTGTGCACGCGCGGCCTTTCTTGGCCACATCGACGCCCTGCGCGAGCTAGGCCACTGTCTGCAAGATGGTTATGGAGTCCGTCAAAACGTGACAGAAGGACGCCGTTTTCTCGTCCAAGCAAACGCGCGTGAACTCGCGGCTGTTTTGTCGAATCCTAATGCTGGACTCCCAACGCGCGCTTGGATCACGTGGAACCCACACGCTCACCCAAGCCATCGTCACCCAAGTGGGAACGGACCCAGTGGGTGTCCTTTATTGAGTGACTTTGGGTGTAATGTTCCAGCTCCCGAGTCTCATCCGGCCAGTCGTTTTATGACGGAATGGTTTGCTATTCGGGGCGGGTCTGCTGGTTCGGGACTCCGTTTGTGTTCTCATACTGGTTGTGGGCGACCCGAGACAAGAAAGCACGAGTTTAGAAGGTGTTCTGTTTGTGGAGCTGTAAATTATTGTTCTCGCGCGTGTCAAGCACTTGACTGGAAGCTAAGACATAAAGAGGAGTGCAGCCCTGTTGAACGGTGGGTCGATGAGGATGGTGACGGTGGTGAAGGCGGGGATAACGCCGGTGGTGTTGGTGCAGGGGATGATGATGATGTCATGGTTGAGAGCTAAATTAAATCTAAATATGGTTAACGGTGGAGTGGGTAGAGACTGACGGTAACGGCAGAAACTGTGCGTTTTAGCGGCCACAAGAAAGAGAGGATAATGATTAATGAGGTTTCATTAATCCTTTTTCTGTTTTGTTTTTGAAGGGTAACGTAACTTTTGTTGATGGGTTCGATTGAATGGCGCACAGGAATTTTGTTTCCTCTTTTGGTTTCTTGTATAGAGGGGCATATCGGAGAAATCGAGGGCAACTTCTGTTATTCTCTTTTCTTTTCTTTTCTTTCTTTGGGTATGAAGGAGGGCTCTTTTTTCCCTTTTATTTCTCTGCTTTTCCTCTTCTTGTACCATATTTAAATCGGCGTCAGTAATTAAAAATTCAAATTCCGAAAATTTGCAAGCAAATTTCTATGTTTAAATTTTCAAAAGAATAGCCCAAGTGTGTGTAGTTTTCACATTGTTAAAAAAACTTTTAACGTTGTGTAAATCCTTTTCACGGTAAAATTCAACTTTAGAGTCAGCGACGCGGTTAGGATTGAGATCACATGTTCTTAATCCTTAACGTTAAGTTTGTGTTTGGTGTTGCACTTTGTCCATAATATTATCCTGCAAAATTATGTAACTTGGATATGATACCAGCAACGTGAAAATGGCCGGCCACTGTCATGATTCATATCTCATACGTGAAACTTGTATGGTGGTATGAAGTAAACATGTTTTTTCTTTTTTTGAAAGATCAATAAGAACAAAATTAGGTACTGGGATGGGATGAATAACCAAACTACCCATGTGTATTGCATTTATGCCTAAGAGTAAGAACTGGCTTAGCTTTGAGGTAAAGGTAAGGAATTCTCAAATAGCTTAAACATTAGAGAAAGTCAAATTTAAACTTCAGATTAAGCATAGATGGAGGAGTTTTGTGTTTCAATTGAAAGAGCAGCAAGTTGTGTGTGAGGTGGATTAGATAATGGGAAAGCCAACAACATAAAGAGATTGTAGGTGATTGATTATTGCATTTTCTTTTTCTACTAGTACTGTTTTTTCTAGCTTTTTTGACCACCAAAAAAGCTAAGCGCCATCAAGAGATTGACCAAGAAGGAAAAATTTGCAAAAGAGATGAAAAGAGAAAGGATTTGGAGTAGTGGGAGATATGCATTTCGCAAGTGGATGAAGTGGTCTGTGTCCAAAGCGTTATGCTCTAGTCACATACAAGAAAAGTAAAAATAGAAGCAATATATTCGGAAAAAAAGGGCATCTTTTTGTGGGGGTTGCACTCATTCCTTTGTTTAATCACCCATTATATTCAGTTGGCATTCATAACTGGGTACTTGATTATGGGTGGTCCAGGCCCAGCCCATTTAATGTCATTAGTTGGGAATTCCAGCTATGTTTGAAAGCTATTGTCCAAGCATGAGGCATAAGCAGGTGATGCAATGCAAGTAACAGATTCAAATTGCAAGAACCGCAGATTTTTTAATGGGTTGACTCTATATATATATATACACACTATATTTTTTTTTGTACTGTATATTCTACTAATTGATGTACTGGACTACATATGCGAGGGGGCAGTTGGCCGATCCAAACTTGGTACTGTACCAGTAAAGGTACTGGAAGATCAGGAAAATACATTTGGGATGCTTTAATTCTGTGATCTCACTATAAAAATTCAAGCCACCTAATCTCGTTAGCATTAGGTTAGGTTAGAGGGTCCAAACCAAATGCCTACTTCGTATCAGCCTTTGTCTATGCTAGTGCAGCTGTGACGTGGCAAGATTTTCCACAAATTAAGTGCGTTAGGAATCCTTTGGCATTCTTTTAGTTTTTTTTTTTTTTTTTTTAAAAGAAATCCTTTGGTATCTTACTGTCACAACTCCCAAGCCTTTTCTTTTCTCATTTAGGTAAATATGTGATATCCTGATAACAAGGTCCTAATCCACTTGCAATTTTCCTGCACCAATATATGACGGCATTTTTTTTTCATAGGTGGTGTTTAATTACCAAAAAAAAAAAAAAAAAAAAAACAATACAGATTGGAAATCGTATCAAGATTTTGCCCCAACAAGCGTGACAAATAATTTTAGAACCACTACTATAATCCCCAAAATATGCAAGAAACCCGAAATCTAATTCTGTTCTACAACCACAAGAACACTAATTTCCACTTCTCCTCCTCTCTTTGGTCTTAAACTTGTTCCAAGTAATATTTTTAATTCTAGAATCAGTATGAAGGACCAGAATCTCTCTCTCCACTCATGCTTGATTAAATTCTTATCAAATCCTAATATCGTGGGAATAAAACAGTTATATAAGTACGAGGTTATCATTCTAAAAAAAAAAAAAATCTAAAGTTTTTATTAGAACAAGAGAAAATTATAATTCTAAAAAAAATTTAATGTGTCAGCTTCTTAGTGTAACTTAACTAAATTAATGTTCTTCATTTGAAAAAAAAAAAATTGAGTAGAAAGTTATTTTTTCTTTTTTGAAAAAAAAAAAAACCTTTTCAACTCGTAGGAAAGTTTATTAGATATTAAGTGTGAAATAACGGATGGTCTGGTCTCATATTCCTTTAACCAAAAATAAATCACGCAACACCTAGTTGTTGCTATCTTCGTCATATACCCAAATTGATAGAGATGCCTTAAGCCCTACCCCATGGAGCATATTAGAAGGAAGTTGTTTGCATTGACATGAGATAAGCAATGTTCTTAATTAGAACGACCACCTGGATTGACAACCCTGCTATCTTTAAACCAATCATTGATTAGAAATTTACTTGTTCGCTGACAATTAGGGTTTAATCTAATTAAAGAAGAAAAAGCAAGAAGTCATCGTCTAGTTTTGAGACGACATGAAGGGAACAAGGAAATGAAAGGTAGAAATGTCTTTGTCAAGGCCAAGAGTCCAGTACAAGAGGGCAAATGTTGGACCACTGGAAGCTGGGAGAGGGATCCATGAATAGAAGTTGACGTTTATATCTGGCGCTTAAGGCTAGGGAATGTTCAGGTTCAGCAGCCGATACCTGCAGGCTGGGGCTGGGCAAGGCCGAAATCATTGGGCCTCATCTGTATTTGGATAACCATGGGCATCTTAGGATAACTCTTCTTAAAACGGGATGGCCTTTCTGGGATGGACATTCAAAGAAGTTCGTTTAAAAAGGTTCTCTTTTCAAAGAGCATATCAAGCAAAATACAAGATACTTCTATAAGAAAGGGGGAAAAAAAAACAATTCTCTTTTTTTTTTTTTTGAAGCCCTTAACTATGATGAATGTTTGCTTGTTCCTAAAGAAATAATAATAAAAAATAGTTTTTTGGAAATATTTTCGCTGGCGGATAGATACTAAAAGAAAACAAAACTGGATTGAGCTAAAGAAAAACATTTTGAACTAATACGTTTTTAATTAATTGGTAATTTATCAAGTCCAGGCCTAGGTAAGAAGTTAATCATGTTTAGAAGCCCAATGGTAAATACAATTAAAATCTAAAAACCTAAATCGTGGGTGGGCTTTAAGGATTCCAGCCCATGCTTAATTAAGTCTAGCTCAAAACAGTTCTATTTGGTCCCATGAAGATGGGAGACCGCATCTACGGGCAGAAGTAGGGCTCTTTCAACATGAATCTCAGCTCAGTTATGCAATAAAGAGGTCTTTTTGAGGTACGCCATACTCAGTTCTCAAATGAGCATGTAAACTGACTCTAGGTTCAAGCCAGAACGTCCTAAGCATGGTAGGACGTGTTTGATATTATGTGATGTTGTATAATGTAGTTATTAATGTAATCGAATTGAATTGGATGATTTTTTACTTTTTAAAAAAATGAGATAATTACAAGAAAAACCCTTAAAAAACTCATCTATATAAAAAAACTCATCAATTTATTTTTAAATCTCTCAAATTCAAGATAATATTTTTTTTACCAAAACACATAATAGTCCTATGTCCTCTATTTCATGTAATGCACAACAGAATTATTTAGGTTTAAAGTTCAAAATCGTCTTTAGTTTAACACATTTACATTTAAAGCTCACAAATTTCGTTAATCATAAATCCATTTCATAACCTCACAATTCAGTTTCACAAATGAAAATCATTTTATTACCTCATATCATGTTTATACATTAACTTACCAAAAGTGGCCAAATGTACTATAAGTTTACAAACATATGAAACATAGGTATTGGTTATCTTTTAAACTCTAAACCTATACATATATTACACGCTTTGACAAACCCGACTCGCTTTCGTAGCATCCTCAACGCTACAACATGTCTTCATGCATCATTAGTTTACGTACACACCATAAGACAAACTAAGAGCTAACTCTCAATAAGTGTAATCATGCATGAATACAAGAGAAAATATATTTTTCATGCTCGCTGAAATACATTTTCTATCATCAACCGCACCTCGTTGAATGTCTAGATATTCAAATTTCATTGAAATCGTCTTTTATAAAAACCATAAAGCACCGGACATGTTCTATCATAATCCTCAAAAAGGGATGATCCATCCCTTTTGTAAGCTGTATTCAACATGTTTACTTGTCCGTCCTTTTTGAAAACAAACACATGTCCTTTTCTTTAAATATATAAAAACATGATAAAAATATTTTCATAGCGTGAATGCAATTAAATTGAAAAACCTCAAATAAACACATGAATACCATAACCATTAAATAACATAACTCTAACCTCAAGTAACACAATAACACAAATTAAATACCATCAAATAAGCACATAAACCCAAACTCATCAAGTAACAAAATAAGTGTTTAATCATCATATAATCACATGAATACATATCCAAATAACATCAAGTAAACTCCACAAATCCAAAACCATCAAGGAACTTCACAAGTATTCAATCAAATAATAAACACACGAACATCAAGTAAACCCATAACCTTAAACTATCACACAACACACCATCACAAGTATTCAATCATAAAGTAAACATAAACAAAACAATCCAACAACTTCTAAATCTTTTGATGTGGTGTGATTACACTTATCAATCGTCAAGCAAACACATATTCATATAAACACAATAATCTTTAAGTGATCAATCATCAAGTAAACACACCGAGTGAACACATAAACACATCAAACCTATGACACCTATGTCTTATGGTGGGTTGGAATACAGTTGCCTTAGGGTTTGGCTAGTGTTAAAAACACTCTAAAAGCTCTCAAAGATTTCCCATTTCTTTCTTTTTTTCCTTTCTTTCTTGCTTTCACTCTCGACCAACCGGCTGATTTTCCTTCCTCTCGGCTAGGGGAGTTCGTTTGGTAATTCGATTCGGTTTTGAAATTTTTTAACCGTGTTTCGATTAATCGAATTGTTCAAAAAATAACCGAAATCGAACCAAATTATTATTCAATTTTTTGATCCGGTTTCGAAATATATCAGCTTTTTTATTCGGTAATTTGGTTTTCACTCGTAATTAATACTCAAGACTTTTTTTTATTTTATTATATTTGTTTCGATAAAATATTTTACAATTAAATTGGTCAACGTAAAATATTGTATGGTCAATGTTTAAATTTAGTTCATTTGTTGAAGAACATCTTCAACTCTTGAAGTTTTATAAAATAAATGATAAATTAATCCCTCTAGTTTTGAGAAACAAATTTAGTCTCTATATTTTTATAATTTATTTTGATTTTTTGTTTTAAGAAAATTAAAAAAAAACAAAAGAAATAATTGATGAGAAAATTTTAAATTTTTTAAAATAAATTAATATTAATTTAAGCATGATCAACATTAATTATTGAACTAATATATAATTTACTTCAATTTCATAAAATATTTTTTGAACATGAATCCACTCAAGATACCATTCAACTATTTCAATCACCACAACATTCATCGCCATTAGCACCACCAACACACTCCCACTACCATCTCATCACCACAATATCATTATTGTTATACTATAATCATATTTTTCACATTATTACTTAACGAACACTAATAAACATTTTGCACAAAACAAATGCTCCCGATTACATTGGCTTCAAATAAAATCCATAATATTCATCGTAATAAGGAATGTTAAGTAGCATAATAAATCCATCTATGGAATTAAAGAATTAGTGTTCCATTTTTTTGAAGGGGCAGGCAAATGAAATGGAAATAACATCCATACGGCCACCTCTACGCGCAAGCAAATTAACACGGGATTCTCCAATTTCAATATTTTTCTATCACCTTTTAATCAAA